CATATGATTCGAGGATTTCTGTCTATTTAAGTTGAGGTAAACTGGTGGATGGTGACTAGCAGTAGAATCCAGGGTGTGCACTTAGTCCAATTCGAGACTCTTCATTTGGAAGTACCTGCATTCCCCAATGAGTTAGTGAGTGTTGGTCTTCCGACTGAGGCTCGAACCCAGTACCCATAGTTTCAAATGCCAAAGCATTATCCACTAGAACACTTGGGCTACGAGAAGCATCTCCGCAAGGAGCTGACATTTCAGCCTGAGGTAGAACACCTCGATACAGTCAATCAACGGGAAAGTGCAAAGTGAATTACAATTTATAACTGATACAGTCGTTGCACAAGAAATTGATAGCTCTCGTGGTCCAAGTGGTCTAGTGGATAACGCTTTGGCGTTTGAAATTTTGAATACTGGGTTTGAGTCTCAGTGGGACAACGGACACTCACTGACTCACTGAGAAATTTAGATACACGAAATTGACGGGTCCCGGATATGAGGAAATACGTATCCCGAAATCCACTGCTAGTTGCCATCCACCAATATACTACTTCGTTGAAGTTAGGAAGAAATACATTTTACATCAAAACGAATTAGTTAAAAATGAGTAATGGAAGTTTCGCTGACTCGATCAACGGCACTACTTCGTTTCCATTCATAGTTTCCCGCCTAACAATCGTTTCTCATGAAAAAACAAATAATCCGCTACAAAGCAATTCTGAATTGTAAACCTTAGATGTCTTCTGCATAAGCTTAATACTAAAATCGAGTTGAAACACATAGTATGACAAATAATTGTTTTGGGGCCTAAAGCAAAATTATTTGATCTATAACAGACCATAGGTTTTATTAGAACATAGAAGCTTCTGTCAGCATTCAAAAGCAGTGGATAACTGCACTGCATTAAATATCCTTGAACTTAATGAAAGTGATTCAGTGTTAAGTTTTTCTATCATCCATCATACCTATAGCAAAGTGGTTTAAAACTTATTTAACCGCACACACGACAGCTTTGCTTAACAGAACTAAAACTGGTGAAACAAAGTGACAGATATAAGCGATGAAATTATAAAGCCTGTCTTATAAGGAATTAACAACAGTCAACGGATGAAGATTAAAAAAAGTGAGACGAATCAGTATATTTTATCCTGGAGCCTCAATGAAAGTGGAGCATGGAAATACCTACTTATTAGTTACTAATTTTGTACTGTATCACTTTAAATCCTTAACAGCAAACTATAGTTAAGTTCCTCTCTTCTAACGAAATTTCTTCACTGATATCAATTATTGGCCTGGTTTGATTCCTTACTCATGGTAAGTGCCAAATATGAAGTAACTGAGCATCAGCTGAATGATGAGTGAACGTACACTAACTTAGATTTTCAACCATAAAACGATCTCTAATACGGTCAATTTTCAATTGTACATCTACATATTTGCGGGTAGATTAATTCGTAGCTAAACGCCACCATGCGTTTCGAATTCACAGAATATTGTAAATAGGCATTGACAACCCGTTATACAACATGAAGACATTTCACGCGGAAATAATGTGTATGGGTGAACAAATTAACAGCTGCTACCCCCATACATCCAATATAAACATACAAATAAAAACAAATTTAGTTGATGAAACATTTCAAAATCTAACAGCGACCAGTTCACATGCTTTTTAGTCTACATCAAAACACAACAATAAATAAAATGATCCATAAAAGAGTTAAAACACACAAACAACCTCCCATCAACACATAATGATATACACAAAGTCTGAACACTGGAGGACGTGCAGTCGGCCGTATATTAGGTTGAAAAAACCAAAATTGTGGAACTTAATGGAAAAGAAAATAGTGATCTTCAACCGACTATCCAAAGAGAACGAAATAAAAAATATCCAACATTAGAGCAACAAAATTAAGACTCATTTGAACTACTATAAAACGAACAGTGATCAGTGAATCATAAACCTGAGCAAAAATAACCAACGACTGAATTAAGACAGATGATACCAATATCCTCAACAAGTTCCAACAAATACACAACCATAAAAGGATGAAGAAAATCATATGAAAGATGACATATTCAAAGAAAAAAGAGCATCACATTCAAGCATCTCTCCTTTTGAAATGCTCGATCTAAACTTCCGTCAGCCAAACTGCGTAGAACACACTAAAGCCACAATGATGTCACGCCATCCAGTGATATGAATTTAACTCCTCCACACTCAGAAGAGTTATTTCAAAGAGCAGCTAGGGGATTTCGCAAAATATCACGTCACGTATTACTACGAATTGGTAAAACTGTAACACTCTACATGGATAATACTGTTCTTTTACATCATTAGTCGTCACCTCTTAAGCGTGGATACGTGTAAGGCCAATTTAGTTAGCGAGGCAGATAAATTACGAGTACAGAGGTTGTACAAAGGTAATCCTTCAAATCGAAAGTTCCAAGGCTTAACCAAGGACATAAATCCACGACGACTTCATTGACACCTAATAATTCTTCACAAAACCCAGATATTTCGACTCCAATAAAACCAACAAAAAAGATAATAGATCTTCAATTCTTGTACAACACATTTTGCAAGCTGTTTTACATATAAGTCGTTCCGGTTGCGTCAAATTCCGATAACATCGAGATGGTGGATAGACTGGCAAACATTTCTGTTTTCGTGATTACATAGAAAACAGTATTATCGAATAGATCAGAGTTATCATTCTGTATCGAAAAAATATATCTGCAACAATCACTGCTGCAAAGATCCTACTGGTACAAAGCTGAAAGGAGATGGAGGAAAGTGTAGTGCCTAAGCAAAGATAAGTTGTGATCATAGTGAAAAATCAATCGGAAAACTTGATTCTCACAGATAAGTAAGGAAACGGCCTATATTTAAATATATCTCAGAATTTACTCACAAAATCACCAAAATAATGGATAATCTGGCTGAACAGATAACGAAAAATTCTGGAGATTTCTACGCAACCAAACTGCAGATGAACCGGAAAAAAGAGACCGATAGGAAACATCTGTCTCCTGAAGCCTAACGGTGAAACTCTGATAATTGAAGCGTTCAAGAATATGCAACTCTTGTATTTATACATATATATATACCGTTCTTCGAATCTGCGTTAACGACGTGAAAATCATCGTATGCATCAACAAATAGCCGTAGTTGTAGCATATAGTGACTAATTCCTAGGGCGTATTTCGCAATATGACATGCAGTCGACTTCATTCCAATACTCTAAGACGTCTCAACATTGATAATAGCAAATCAAAACTTTTAATCTGCTAACCAAGACTAGCGATTGGAAGAAAATAAATCACGGGATTGTCTTTAAAAGTATGGCCGGCTGACTACCGGCCAACCTTCAATATCCGATAGCAGAGGTCGTCTGACTTCCTTTTAATTTAACAGGAGATACTTTATATGCAAAATAAGCCGGAATACTGATTTCTCGTTCTACAGCTCAGGGGCTTATTAAGTAAAAGAAGGCTTTCCAAACTACGCCGCTTTAGATATACCACGTACACCTAGCTTTATCTTAGTCTTTCAATTTTGATGGTAACTGTGAAACCTGATCCACAGTCAAAAACACCACTTAGCAACCTAACAATCAACTCCATCAAAATACACTCACCAGTAAATTTTTCCACAGGTCCTTACACCCGCTAGTCTCTCACTTTCCTGAAATTCTAAATATTCCGTATCATATTACTCATTCGTCTTGTTGCAATCCATGCCTTTGTTTATTTTGATGACTTGATGTTTAGGTTGAGAGTTTTGTTTATATTTTCAAATAAGAGATACATTAACTACATTGTTGTGTTAGGTTCTTCATTCCCGTGTCAGTTCGTCTAATTGTCTCGTTGAACTCTGCTAGAGTCACGTCTGAGAGGTGTAGAAAATGTTTAAATTTAAGACCACCACCAGACAAATATATATTTATACTGGCATTTAATATTGTATGATCTAATGTGAACAAGAATTTCATCTAGCTGAGTTGTACATTTTACCACTCATTCTAATGCAGCCAGAACTAGGGCTAAGTTGCCTGAAGAATTGTTAAGATGTAATCTCTGTCTTCAACAACTCACGGAGCGTCTTGAATTTACATGGGTTCAAATAATGCTGACAATCGTCATCTGCCTTCATGCAAAGAAGACCAGTGGCTGAGACCTATCGAAAGTTTTGATTCCGATAATGTGAAGAAGTAAGCAGTTAGTTTTCGTCGTTTAGTCTCATAATTTTTCTAAATGGCCAATTTTTAAGAGTCGAATTCATTAATTGGCTTGTGTTTAGTCTCTCTAAGTTTCAACTCAGACTAGTTATAAACAACAGATTTTAGTGACTTCAAGATAACTGTCCAGCACATAAAGTCAGACCGAAAGTCCCTTTCAAAAATCATCACACTGCATGAATATCTTATTTCGGTTAACGATGATATGGTGCTTCCGTAGATTCTTGGAAAACCCGTACTGACTCGAAGAAATCACTTTTCAGAGGAGCATTATGCGAGCGATTGGCAAGCCCGGAACTTATGTTCAGGTCTGTACTGATGTCTGTTTGACTGCCTGCAGTAGTTCAGGTGCATAAACTATCAACAACGTGCTTCCTGAAGTAATTCTCGAATCATATACACTGTGAGATGACATAAGATCACATGTGCTTGATTGAAAATTTTCTGAAAAAGCCAAATATACCTCAGTCCTACTGACGTGAGTAGCGTGTAGACTCAGTAATTCACTTCTGTTTTTGAATTGGAAAATTTTGGTCAATACATAAGTCTATATTCTACATCACATAAGATGTGATTGTACCTCAAGACGTCTTCATACAAATCTCTTGGAAACCTCCAATATTACCTGAGTTGATCTCAAGTCTGTCTTACATCATTCTTTTATAAATCCATAAAACGTATTTTCAACATACTGTCAACTCATACTCAACACAGGTGAACAATATCTTGAAACTATGAAAACGGTAATTGAAATTAACTCACTTAGAGTTGTGAAGGAAACAATTGCGAATATGATAAAAATTCCAATATTCATTCCCCAAAATCAGGTGGGCGCATTTGTTTACTATAAGGAATTTCAGTCATAACTTAGTAGTAATCCTAGTTTGGTGCGCAGTAAAATGTGATGTTTTTGAAATTTCTCAAATTTCAAGGCCATTAATTTTTGTCTATGTGATCTGAATAATACAATTGTGTAGTCCAATCGGCTTCATTTCTTGATATTAGCAGAACGTTTTACTTCACAGTTTTTGCTGTATGTTTCCTGTAGCTTCTCTCGTAGAATGGTCACTAATATCCTACATCGAATACCTTTCTGTCAAGCTTGTATAAACTTTATCATTTCTTAGCGCTCGCTTCTCGTTGTTTCGTAAAGACTTTAGATCTTTGCTGGACTCCAGTATGATATATCTCGTCAACTGATGCAGCTCTGCTGGGTGTCATAGGAGGGAGCTCATTTGGCCACTTTGGAGGAATTGCATAGTTTGCATGGTTGCATACCAGGGCGGTGGCGCTGCTGGAAATTGCAAGTCTCATTTCGCTGGGGTATCCTTCAGTCGGAACCTCGCCTAGATTACTAGGTCACTAGTATTCTAGCCGGTCCCATGCCCGGATAAAGAGGGAGGGTTGGGGCGTGGTGCTAGCAACTCCACCCCCAAAACTTAACCAAATTGCTACTAAAACTTCAACGCACAAATATATTCAAAATTCTAAAATTACAAATAGTGACCTTATTTTTCGCTGGAATCGGGGAAGTGAAATGACGCGGGCTGGTGAAAGCCTTCGGGAAGCCAGTCAGCCGATGTGCCTTCTTTCGATGAAAGCGAAAATAAGGATGGGGACGTGGAATGTTCGTACAATGTACGAAGCTGGGAAGGCTGCTCAGGTAGCCGCAGAAATGAGGAGATATAGAATAGAAGTGTTGGGAATCTGCGAGAGCAGATGGAACGGATGTGGAAGGAGCCAACTATCAACTGGAGAGACAGTAATCAATTCCGGTCACCCAGAGGACAATCACGAGCACACCGAGGGAGTGGCCATCATGATGTCACCAACAGCGGCTAAAGCTCTCAAGCAGTGGGAACCAATCTCCTCCAGGATAATGACAGCCAGGTTCAACTCAAAAGGAAAAAAGGTTACAATCATTCAGTGCTACGCGCCTACAAACGCCTCAGAACATGAGAAGAAGGAGGATTTCTACAGTCAACTACAAACAGTAATGGACAACGTCCCAAAGAGCGATATCAAAATCCTGATGGGCGACATGAATGCGAAACTGGGAGGAGACAATACAGGAAGAGAACTCACCATGGGTCGTGAGGCCCTCGGTGAAATGAACGAAAATGGTGAACTCTTCTCAGACTTCTGCGCCTTCAATGATTTGGTGATTGGTGGCAGTGTGTTCAAACACAGGGATATACACAAGGCAACATGGATTTCACCAGATGGACACACCGAAAACCAGATAGACTTCATTTCAATCTCAAGGAAGTGGAGACGGAGCCTACTGGACACAAGATCGAGGAGAGGAGCAGATGTGGGTTCAGACCACTATCTGGTACAAGGGACTTTCAAGGTGAAGCTGAAAGCCTCGAGGATACCTGGGGATAGGCCACAATGCAAGTTCAACACTCACAAACTGAAGGACACAATCACACAGGACATTTTCACTGCAACTGTCAGAGCAAAGCAGGAAACACTACGTGGCACCACTGAGGAATCATCCGTGGAAGACCATTGGAACTCTCTGAAGGTAATTTTCAACGAAACGTGTTCAACGGTTTTAGGAAGAAAGAAGAAACAAGACAAGGAATGGCTCTCAACAGACACTTGGAAACTAATAGAGGAGAGGAGAATGGTGAAAGAGAAAATGATTCAATGCAAAGATGGACAAGAGAAAGAGACGCTGAACTCAACTTACACAGCACTGGACAAAGAAGTGAAGAAGAGTGCCAGGAAGGACAAAAGACAATTCTACGACAACCTGGCTACTGAAGCTGAGAAGGCAGCAGGCAAAAGGGACCTGAGGACACTATATCAGATAACCAAGTCTCTATCCGGGAAGAGATCAACACAAGTGAAACCTATAAAAGACAGCCAAGGGAACCCAATTACCAAAGAAGAAAGACAGATTAAACAATGGGCGGACCACTTCAAAGGACTCTTGAACCGACCACCACCTACAACCCGTCCAGTAATACCAACAACAGCACGTACACAACTGCAAGTTGACACCAATCCTCCAACGAAAACTGAAGTCATGAATGCAATCAAGCTTCTGAAAGCTGGAAAAGCAGCTGGACCAGATGGAATACCCCCGGAAGCACTGAAAGCGGACCCAGAAACGACGGCAGATATGCTGACTCCATTATTGCAAAAGATCTGGAAAGAGGGAAAGGTGCCTACTGACTGGAGGAAAGGTTACCTGGTGAAACTACCAAAGAAGGGCGACCTGGGACTCTGCAAGAACTGGCGAGGAATCATGCTCCTGTCGACGCCAAGTAAAATCCTGAGTCGCATCATCCTGGAGAGAATCAAGGACGCGCTGGATACAGAACTCCGACCAGAACAAGCTGGATTCAGGAAAGGCAAATCATGTTCTGACCAAATTGCAACTCTACGCATTATCATCGAACAAAGCATGGAATGGCAATCAAATCTCTACTTCAACTTCATAGACTTTGAGAAGGCCTTCGACAGCGTTGACCGCGAAGTAATTTGGAAACTACTCGAGTACTACGGCGTACCCCAAATATTCATCAACCTTATTCAACAGCTGTACGACAACGGCACATGTCAAGTGATCCACAACGGAAAACTCAGCGAAGCGTTTGGAGTAAACACAGGAGTCAGACAAGGGTGCTTATTATCACCAATGATATTCCTAATTGTGGTGGACTGGATTATGCGTCAGACAGTGGGAAACGAGAAGACAGGGATATCCTGGACCGGCGTGAAGAATCTAGAAAACCTGGATTTTGCGGATGATTTATGTTTGATGTCTCACAAAATCGAAGACTTACAAGCAAAAACCGACAAACTGGTCGAAGAAGCAGCGAAGAAAAGACTCCAGGTGAACATAGACAAGACGGAAGTTATGAAAATAACCAACCAACAACAACAACAGCAGCAGCAACATCCAGCGCCAATCACCATCAACGGGAGGGATTTGAAAGAGGTTACTTCTTTCACTTATCTGACATTAACCAGGAGGAACGGACGAGGATGTCAAATCGAGAATCGGGAAGGCGAGAAACACATTCATCAACTTGAAACCAATCTGGAAATCTTCGTCACTCTGCATCAACAACAAAATTCGGATTTTCAATACAAACGTCAAGTCAGTCAGTTCTTTATACGGATCAGAAACTTGGCGGGTTACAAAGAATATTTCCAACAGGTTGCAGACCTTTATCAACAACTGTCTTCGCTCTATACTGAAGATTAGATGGCCGGAAAGAATCACAAACAAGAAGCTATGGGAACAAACGAAACAGGAACCAATCGCCCAACAAATATGCAGGAGGAAGTGGAGATGGATTGGACACTCGCTGAGGAGGCCGTTGAGTGACATCGCGCGTCAAGCCCTCGAGTGGAACCCGAAAGGGAAGCGGCAAGTGGGACGTCCAAGGGTGACATGGAGGAGATCGTGTGAGGAGGAGATGAAACAATATGGAATAACACGGACGCAAGTGAAAAGAACAGCAGAAGACAGAAGCAAGTGGAGACGTGCAGTTGAAGCCCTATGTTCCACTAGGAACCCGAGGGAACAATAATAATAATAATCCTTCAGTCGGACCGAAAAACATCCCGAACGAAAAGAGATGGGTGGATGAAACAAGTGGAGGTTGACGCAAGAAGACTAGGTGTGGAACAGGTAAGACATTGAGAGCGCATACACAACAAAAAGAAAAGAACAAGGCTGACAGGGGTTGTGTTCAAGTGATTAGAATAAAATATTGCAGTATACAAAAGTGGGTGTGAGATTTTTAGAACCAGTTCAACTCCCTGGAACTAGTCATTTCTCCCTATGGATGAGTGCTAACCTATCGTTCCTGCGAAGTAGTCCAGCTTTCTCTCGAAGCTATCAGCTGATGGAGCGGTTGCCACATCGTTTGGTAGTAAACTCTGTGAGTAACTAGCTGTAAGGCAGAAAGGGTAAGACCATACTTTTGTTGCTGTCCTCTGATGAGAGATTTATTTAAAGTTACACTGAGGGATACCACGGTGCCTTTTGATAACATGACTCAGTTTGGGTGATTTGCCTTATGCACTATTTTGCATGACATGTTGAAGTCGTCGCTGGTTCGGCGGTAACTGAAAGCATGCAGATCCAGCTTTCTGAGTCAGTCTATTGCGTGTTCTATTTGACTAAATGAGCGTACACGTATTTCCTAGTACTTCTTCACGTTTATCAATGTGCGCAGACGTTGTGGCTACTCGACGCCCACAACGTAAAATCAGAAGGCACTTGTGAAGAGTGTAATCGTGTATTATAGCCGTAGTCAAATTTCGAAATTGTATCAAGGTAACGTTCAACAGTAAATTGACAAATGTTTACGAAGTACATATAAAATCGGTATGTGTAAACATATAGTATGAGTATGCAAATTAGATTAAAAACGTATGTTTATAGTTGGTATAGGGGTACTACATAATTCCCCCACCAGAACACTGAAATATAAAAAAATACATTTAAGTGTTCGACAATAAAATGCGTCAGCGTAATACGTAGCAGCGATAGTACATAGAAAGCGATTTATTAAGCTGAAAAAATGAGCAATTTAATGCGGTCAATAAGGCCGATAATAAATGCGATAATAAAAGAAAAAATAGGATTGATGATCGTGGTAGAATATATAAGGAATGATACAATCGGCCGGGGATCTGTAGTCTGTATACGGAAATGATACGTGAATATTAAGCGCTGTATGATTAAATGTAATAATACAGGGAATATCGATGTTAACATAGTAGTGACGTGATTGACGTATGAAAATATTAATCAGTTAAATGAGCAGTCAAATGACAATTACGAATAAAAATAATAAAAATGAAAATTCGTAATAAGTTATATATTGATGATTTGTACATAACGTTTAGGCCAATGAACTCTCCTACCAGAGCGCGTAGTTTTCATAGGTTTCTCTGGCGACGTTGAAGCTTGCGTGGATG